ATGGAACCCTTGTCATGGTCAGATCACTCGCTCCTTCGCCTGGACCTTCGAACCGCTACACCCTGCCACAGGGAGGGGTGTAACCCAATAAGATGGGTCCGCCCCAGGCGCCTGATGGATCCTGATAGGTTCCAGATGGAGCTTGGGCCATTTCCTGAGGATCTAGCACATGACTCGGCCGAGGACCTGGTAGCCGCCTGGGATCGGGCGGCTGGTGGGGCCTTGGACCGAGTCGTGCCTTTGCTGCCTCTGACCCGGTGCCGATCCCGCGCAGCTCCTTGGTTTACTGAGGAGCTGAGGGAAATGTAGCGCCGGAAAAGACGCCTGGAGAGCGGTTGGAGGGCCAGTCTCGCTGAATCTGATCAAACACTGGTAAGGTCGCATATTAAGACCTACCTAGTGGCGATAAAGACGGCAAAGTTTAATTACTTTTCCGCCTCTATTGTGTCATTAGGGAATCGTCCGGCCGCCCTGTTTAGGGTGACCCGCTCCCTGCTCCATCCGGGAGTGCGGGAGGATCCCCTGGAAGGCAGGGCGGAGGATTTCGGACAATACCTGTATGACAAAATCGCTCAGATCCGGGGGGATTTGGACTCTGACTGGGTAGATCAGGGCAGGGTGACGAGGAATAGTCTTGAGAATGTTATCTGGGAGGAGTTTGATGCTGTGACTCCCGATGATGTGGACAGGATTTTGGGGAGACTTAGTGCGGCCACATGTTTACTGGACCCATGTCCCTCCTGGTTGGTACTGGCTTCCCGGGAGGTTACACGAGGCTGGCTCCAGGGTGTTATCAACGCTTCGTTGAGTGAGGGTTACTTCCCCGCTGCCTTGAAAGAGGCGGTGCTGAGGCCTCTCCTCAAGAAGCCGTCCCTGGATCCGGCAATATTGGCCAACTATCGTCCTGTCTCCAACCTTCGCTTCATGGCAAAGGTTGTGGAGAGTGTGGTCGCGCGACAGTTTCCACAATTCCTGGAGGAAACATCTTATCTAGATCCGTTCCAGTCGGGTTTCAGGTCTGGGCACAGCACAGAAACGGCATTGGTCGCGTTGGTTGATGATCTCTGGAGGGCCCGGGACAGGGGTTGCTCCTCTGTTCTGGTCCTGTTAGACCTCTCAGCGGCTTTTGATACCATCGACCATGGTATCATGCTGCACCGGCTGGAAGAGTTGGGGGTGGGAGGCACCGTATTGTGGTGGTTCTCCTCCTTTCTCTCCAACCGGTCGCAGTTTGTGTTGGCAGGGGGGCAGAGGTCGACCTCGAGGCCTCTCGTCTGTGGAGTGCCGCAGGGATCGGCCCTCTCACCCCTTCTGTTCAACATTTATGTGAAGCCGCTGGGCGAGATCATCCGTGGCTTCGGGGTGAGATACCATCAGTACGCTGATGACACCCAGCTGTACATCTCCACTCCAGGCCACCCCAACGATGCCCTTGAAGTGATGTCTCAGTGCCTGGAGGCTGTGCGGATCTGGATGGGGAGGAACAGGCTCAAGCTCAACCCTTCCAAGACTGAGTGGCTGTGGCTCCTGGCATCCCGATATAGTCAGTTGACTCCATCACTGACTATTGGGGGCGAGTCCTTGGCCTCCACAGAAAGGGTTCGCAATCTGGGAGTCCTCCTGGATATGCAGCTGTCCTTGGAGGAACATCTGACGGCTTTAACCAGGGGGACCTTTTATCAGGTTCGCCTGATTTGCCAGTTGCGGCCCTTTCTTGATCGGGATTCCCTGTGCACAGTCACTCACGCCCTCGTCACCTCTCGCCTTGACTACTGCAATGCTCTCTACATGGGGCTCCCCTTGAGGGGCACCCGGAGGCTCCAGATGGTCGAGAACGCAGCAGCGCGGGTAGTGATGGGAGCAGCATGGCGCTTCCATGTAACACCGCTCCTGCGCGAGCTGCACTGGCTCCTGGTGGTCTTCCAGGTGCGCTTCAAGGTGTTGGTTATCACCTTTAAAGCGCTCCATGGCATAGGGCCTAGCTATCTTCGAGACCGCCTGCTGCTACCGACGACCTCCCAGCGACCCGTGCACTCCCACAGAGAGGGCCTCCTCAGGGTGCCATCAGCCAAACAATGTACGCTGGTGACCCCCAGGGGGAGAGCCTTCTCTGTGGGGGCACCTACCCTCTGGAATCAGCTGTCCCCAGAGATAAGGAGAATCCAAGACCTCAGTGCCTTCCGCCGTGCCCTTAAAACCCACTTTTTCCAGCAAGCTGGGCTGGCTTAGGAAGAAATTTTTTTTTAATTTTTAAATGTTTAATTGGTTTGTGGGTTTTTAAATTTTGGGCCAAATTTATATAGATTTTAATTGTTTTTAATATTTGTATTTCATGTTTTTAATTCTGACTGTGCACCGCCCTGAGTCCTCAGGGAGAAGGGTGGTATATAAATTGAAAAATAAAATAAAAATAAATAAATAAATAAATCTTGGTCATATCATGTGGAATACAAATATAATGTCACTCAGGGGGGTTTTATATAAAGAGGTTCTTTTTACAGATGCGGGCAGATGGCAACTCAAGACATTAGAGACACTGTTGGACGAAGGGATTAATTTAACTTGGTTACAGTATAATCAACTTCAACTGAGATGGAAAGAGGACCAAAAAATTGGTATTATGTTGCATGAGGAAGAATTGGTTACACATATAAAAGAGAAAGGTCCAATGCATATTAAAAGGCTTTACAATGTTTTGTTAGAAAGGGATTCAGAAACTGAATTGGTTAAAGATTGTATGATTAAGTGGGCACAAAATTTTGCAGAACCAGTGATGTTGGAAACATGGGAAAAAATTTGGGTTCAGAATGTTAAATTTACACAGTCGCAGAATCTGAGGGAAAATTTTTATAAAACGTTTTATAGATGGCATTTAGATCCTAAAAAATTGTCGTGCATGTACCCTAATGTTCAGCCAAAATGCTGGAGATGTGATTGCCTAGATGCCACATATTATCATGTGTGGTGGACTTGTAAGAAAGTTAAGGCTTTTTGGATAAAAATTTGGTGGGTCATGCAGAATGTTTTGAAGAAAAAAATCCAATTTTCTCCACAATTGTTTTTACTGGGTATAGTTAAGGGTTTTACATTGGATGAAACAAAGTTGATATTGTATATGACAACAGCAGCAAGATTATTGATAGGTAAATACTGGAAAAATGAAGCTTTGCCCACTATCGAGGAATGGACTTTGAAGATGGCCAGTTTTGCAAAGATGGCGAAGATTTCAGCATACCTAAAAGATCGCTCACAAGAGACTTATGAATGGGAATGGAAAAAGTGGATAGATTATGTGCAGAACAAATATCAAACTGGGAAGTATCAAATAGCTTTTCACTGATAGTATTATATTAAGATAGAATTATTTGAATTTTGTGAAGATGAAAAATTATATGGGGGGTGGAGGGATTCAAGTTTTATATAAAGGGGATTTTGATGGGAGTATATTCTGTGGAAGTCCGGGGGGGAGGGGAGGGTTAGGGGGGTTAGGGAGGGTTAGGTTGGGGAATCTGGGGTGGGTTGGGGAGGGGAAATGGGGTGAAAATGTAATTGTAAAACTTTGGCAATAAAAAAAAAATAGTTTCCTGTATGATCTCTTTATTAACATGACATCATACACCAAAGTTGAAATTTTGTTTAGAAATCATCCTCTAACATGGAATCCAAAGACTAAGATTAGATACCTAATGACTAATATGCCCTAAAACTGAAATGCAGGTTCCAAGTAGGTAACCCTAAACACAACAATGTTCCATTTTTTTGTGGAGGTAGTCCTCAACGTATGACCATAATTGAGTCAACTGATATTAAGTGTTATAGTACTCAACTTTTAGTAATCTTTTTTACCATAGTTTTTAAGTTGAATCACCATAGTTATTAACATGTTAAGTGAATCTGGCTTCCTCACTGACTATGCTTGTCAAAAGGTCATAAAACGTCATCACAGGGAACTGCAACCATCGTAAATATGAACCACTTGTCAAGTATCTGAATTTTTATCATGTAACCATGGGAATGCTACAAGTTGTAAGTGTGAAAAATGGTCATAAGTCACTTTTTTCAGTGCCCTTGTAATTTCAAACAGTCACCAAACAAATGGTTGTAAGTAAATTGAGAACTATCTGTATTTTGCTAAATCAGATTAATTTGGTATAAAGCATTACGGACCTCAATTTTCCATTCTCTTTTCGCCATCCATAGATTAATCCAAACGTAGTTTGTTAATGCCTAACAATGTAATCAAATACCAAAAATAAACTCCTTTCCCAAACTAAAAAAGCACAGTGAATGCCTCTTACAAATACTATTTAACTGACTTTCTGGAAGGCCATGCAGCTATTTGTAGACAGGTGAGGATAAATAATGCAAATAATAATAATGCAGAAAAAAGCTAGAACTATAGAAGATGATAAGAAGGAAAACTATAAAAGAAGATAAAGTTGTCTGGATTTTTCCAATAAATTTAGTCAGCGCAAAGGAATACTGAAAAGACTTGACTGAAGCATAGAAATCAGAGGTGGGTTTCAGCAGGTTCTGACCAGTTCTGGAGAACCGGTAGTGAAAATTTTGAGTAGTTCAAGAACCGGTAAATACCACCTCTGACAGGCCCCACTCCCATCTATTCTCTGCCTCCCGAGTCCCAGCTGATCAGGAGGAAATGGGGATTTTGCAGTAACCTTCTCCTGCCACGTCCACCAAGCCACACCCACAAAACCAGTAGTAAAAATTTTTGAATCCCAATTTTTGAATAGAAATCTATTATTTTGATAAGATTTCTGCTTCCCAAGCATGAATACCAATACAAATCATTACTATAGGAAAATTACACATCGCTTCTTATGCATAGTAACATCTGGTTGTAATTACTGTTACTTAGTGTTCTTTAGTAATATAAATAAACGTTCATTTGACATTATTTCAGTACTGTAAAAACTATTTTATATATTCTTCATTCATTCAAAAATAACTCTAATAACATTAACAATAACAGCATTGCTTACCATCTCAGATTTTATTTTCTTATTTTCTTCCTTTTTTTTATCAGTATCTTCAGGTTGGGAAGCCTGTTTTAAAAGCTTTTCTGTAACGCCAGCTGATCCTTTTTGTTTAGAAAGTTCCTGACTTTTTCGTGGAAGCATTTCATCTTTAGCTTTCCCTTTTGAAGTTTTCTTGCCTTTCTTTGGTACCTCTTCCACACCTGCTGATACAGGAAACTGCCAGTCTGGAATAGTTGGAGGTATTTCAGCAAGTTGGATCTTTGCCTTTTCAACTTCCTGTATTTTTTGTAAAAAAAAAAAAAAAAAGTTAAAATACATAACAAATTCATCAGGTTTCATAATCTTTAAACTTGAAATTTTCAACGCAGCATCCCAAAAATGTGATAATAATGACAGACATATAATCCTCTCCTTGTGCTAAATCATTGATTACTTTAAAAAAATATTTTGCCTTTTGCCTCAAATTCCTTGCTGGGCCTTTGTTACCAGATTTATTCAGATTGAATAGTTAACAATTGTTACTATCTCTGCATCTTCTACCCAGAGGGAAAACGAAGAGCTGCATCACAGGTGACAGTGACTTCTTAGCATTATGCACCAAAATCCTCTCTGTCCAATGTTCACAAGGTTCACCACCAGTTTTTTTAGATATCATGGAGAAAAACTCCAGAACTGCTAAAAATCTCTTTAAGTCTCATTGCAACATGCAGGGGATAAGATGGACACTCCCCAGTCACAGGATTGTCTGCCAACAATGCTGGAGTATCCCAGACATATAGTATTAAGGGTCTTCAACAACACTTTTCTGGAGATGAAATCTGAGGTAACTCAGGAGTTCATGGCTACAATAACAGCCATAGGTCTGTTCTAGGACATCCAAATTCCAACATAGGACAATGGTCACCTACTTATCTGGTTTCCCTTTCACCACTGTACACTGCAAGCAGGTAGGACTTAGATTGGTCATCCCTCAGTGATAAATGGACCCTAATGGGTTTCAGAGGGAATTGGAGGCTGTTCCTGCTACTCTGCTGAATGGTCTGTCTCTAAAGCCTTGGTTGCCACTTAAAAGAGGTTCATCAAGGTCTTAGATCACACCTATGTGATTTCTTCCCTCCTCTGGCTCCCATCGCTCCCTATCTTTCACAGAAGAATTAAGGGAGATGGAAAAAAAGAAATCTCTAAAGATCACCAGCATTGAAGGATAAACTAAATCTATTATGGATTAAGTCATAAATCATAAGTTTATTTGTCAAGCATATATAAGATAACAGGGAAAAGTATAAACATAATTTGAATACATGAAAAGAGTAAGTAAAAAGGAATATTAGGACAGAGATGGTAGGCAGGCTGGTGCACTTATGCACGCCCCTTCCAGACCTCTTAGGAATGGGGTGAGGTCAACAGTAGACAGTTTAACCTTAACCTAAGTTTTGGGGGTTTGGGGAAGAAACCACAGATTCAGGTAGTGTATTCCAGGCATTGACAACTCTGTTACTGAAGTCATATTTTCTGCAATTGAGTTTGGAACGGTTTACCTTGAGTTTGTATCTATTATTTGCTCATGTACTGTTGTGATTGACGCTGAAATAGTCACTGACAGGAAGGCAGATAATTTTATGTACTATACTTAGGTCAGACTGAAGTCGGAGTAGTTTTAAGTTGTCTAAGCCCAAAATTTGGTGTCGGGCAGCATAACGTATTTTATTGCGGTTGGAGGAATGGAGGACTCTTCTCATAAAATATTTCTGGACTCTATCAATTGTATTTATGTCCGATATGCAATCCGGGTTCCAGACAGATGAGCTCTACATAGTAAGGACAAGGAAGGGACAATATTTCCTTGCCATTGTTACATCTGCAGATAGTCATCCGTTGGCCTTGATTTATGAGATGCATAATCTCTTGGATAAGGGAGATCACCTTACAGGACTATACAGAAGAATTTGCTTAGCAACTGTTAGATAGTTGCTCATTCTGAGTTGTACACTGGCTTTGTGAAGATCCTGGGCATATTCCCTATTGTTTGGGAACAGTTTAAACCACTTGGGCCGACTCTTTTTGACTATATGCTCAGCCACCAATTCTTTGAACTCATCCCTTTCTGGATAAATAAAGCTGTCTGACTTTGAAGAAGCTGCTGCAGCTGAAACTGTGGAATTTCAACTTTGGCAGAAAAACAAGCCAAGAATCACTTTGACGTTGATCAAAGACAGGCACTATCAGAACAGCTGGAGCAAGCCAAAAACGGAGTTTAGCCATTTCCTATACTGTGTCTTTGTAATCAGTCATAAGAATCAAGTCAGGCCATGAAATAGCTGAGAAATAATCAGAGCAGAATTTCATGTACTTATTTGAATAAGTTTTCAAGTCACAATATAACCAAATATGCAAGAAGTAAACATGTGAAAATATTTCTGCCTAAAGAGATCAGAAAATTCTCCTCCAAAATACCTGTAAAGCTTTCTGTAGCTTCTCCTCAAGCATTCTGTTCTCTTCCTGAAGGGACTGAATGTCTTCCTACGATGTCAATGTGAATTTAGATTTAGATGTTTCATTTACATTCAGATTGCAAATTTAAAGGTTTGCTTGCCCCTCCCTATTGTAAAGATGTACAAAAATTCAATACTCAGTTCACTCATTTTTCCTAATACATCCCAGAGAATATAATTCAGTTGGTTATCAACCATTTATTGCTTGCTGAATTTTTAAAATCATATTTATCTGGTACAAAACAAGAAAAAGTTGACTGATTGAGTAAGACCTCCTTCTGTACTTTCAGAAATATAATACATAACCCATCTTCCTTAAGCAATTTCTAGCAAGATCTTGAATTTTGTGTCCATCTTTCTTATCCTGAATTATTACACTTTTTCTTAAATGGTTTAGAAAATAATCTTATTAGTATAAAACAAAAAAATATTTTTATAAAATTTAACGTCATACTTTTATACATAATTTAAATGAGATAGTATGTCTACAAATATATATTGACATATTTTCCTTTACCTGAGCTTTATTTAAATCTTCTTTCATTTGTATATGGTCTTTTTCCTTTGCAAAACCAGGCTCTAGTTTCTGTGTTCTGTAATAAGAAAATATAACACAAATTAATGATTAGACCATCATAATATAGCAACTAGACTGCTGAAATATCAGAAGGAAATGCTCACATGGTAATTTCTCAATTTTCCTAGCAAGTACAAAAAGGTCTATAAATTATGGTAATCTAGAATCTATCTTATATAGTTTGAATTTAGCCTGTTATTTGAAGCCAGGCATTACAATCAATCATTATAGTTATGAGTGATGTGATATGGCTCCGGAAATGTAAACCCAATCTGTGTATACTCTATAGTGTGAAAGCTTTTCAAAATACAGAATACGTTCAGTAATGGATTTTTAAAATGTTCAGTATAGCTAGTTCAAAATAGCCAAAACATAAAGTGCTGCTTGTTAACATAGTTAACGTTAACTCAGAAATAGTCAAGTACAGTTGTGTGTTCATATATTTACATTCATAAGAGACAGAAAGAAAAAGTTACACAATGCAAAACGACATTTACAATACCAGAGGCCTACTATTTAGCATTCTGATTTAGCATAAAAAAACATAAGTTTTTTTGTAGCACAAGGTACCATGAAGGGTAAGAAATGTTGGTAGCACCAGGGACTTTTTAAAAAAATTTTCAACTGATATATCTACTTTTAGTTTTTCTGAAAAGGGTAGGTAATCTATGCATATTCTAGTTGAACCACTGCAGTATATATGGAGACACCCTTAGATAGGTAATAACAGAATAATAGAGTTGGAACTAACCTTGGAGCTCTTCTAATCTAACTACCTGCTCAAGCAGGAGACCCTATACCAGGGGTCTGCAACCTTAAACACTCAAGAGCCACTTGGGCGTTTCCCTGCAGAAAACAAAACACAGGGAGCCACAAAACCTGGGTGGCTGTGGCCAACTCAGGTCACTCACTCCCACCCAGTCACATGACATACTCCCAGCCATGCCTACCCAGGTTTTGTGACTCCCCATGTTTTCTATGGGAAATAGGTATCTCCCTGTCCTTCCCTCCCTCTCATCTTTCTCCCTCTTTCATTTCTCTTTCTCTATGTCCCTCTCCCTCTCATCTTTCCCTTTCTCACATCTTTCTTTTTCTATCTCCCTATCACCCTCTCTATCTTCCTCTCCTCCCTCTCTCATTTCTCTTTCTCTCTCTCTTTCAGTCACCTTTTTCTGTCTCCCTCCCACTCATCTCTCTTTTTCTCTCTATCTCCCCCATCTCTCATCCCCCTAGCCCTCATCTCTCTCATTCTTACTTTCCCTCTCTTGCTTTCTTCCCCCCTCCCTCCCTCTCTTTCTCTGTGTATATCTCGCTCTCCATCTCTGTCTCTTCTCACTCTCTCGGAAAGCCCTGCATGCCCTCCTTGGGGCTTTTCGTACCCATTATTCTTTTCTTCCTTTTGGAAATCCGGGCTGGCTGAGGAACGAACGAACCCGCAGCGGAGGCTTCCCTCCTCCTCTCGCGACCCCCTGGCCAGCTGTGGGGGGAGGGGGAGGAGGAGGGAAGCCTCCACCGCGGATTCATTCGTTCCTCAGACAGGCCAGATTTCCCAAAGGAAGAAAGAAAAACTGGTAACAAAAAGGAAAGCGCGCAGGGCTTTCCGAATGAGTGAGAAGGGACACAGACGGGGGGGGGGGAGAGAGAGAGATACACACACACACACACAGAGCTGCCAGGGGCGAGTGGGACAGGGAATGGGCTCCAGGAGGAGGGGGTCCAGTCTCCCCCATTGTGAAATGCACTTTCGCTGTGCTGCAAGGCGCTGCGAGAGTAGCAAGCAGGCCATGGAGGGGATATTGGGTCTTCCTCCCCGCCCCATGCCAAAGGAAATCCAGCCGGGGCTTCTCCTTCCCTCCCCCTTTCCACCCACTCAATCCTACTTCAGGACAGAGGAGCGCGAACTGGAAACGTGTTGGGGCGACGTCAGAGTGCATCTTCTGACCCTCCAGCGCCCGCCCGCCCGCAATTCTCCGTGCTCCTCCAGGCCTGGCTTGCTGAGGGGCTGAAGCCCTGACGTCTCTTCTGCCCCCATCCCACGGCACCAGCCATTGCTGCCCGGCGAAGGCACAGGAAAAGCAAGCAAGCAGAAACATAGCTCGCGCTGGGGCGAAAGAGCAGAGATTGGGGAAGAAGGTCAACGCGTTTCAAAGGCGGCGAACAGCATCCAGCTGTGAGAGCCGGACCGTACCTCTCTGCCATCCAAGTCGCCAGTGGGGGCACTTCTACCGGGCCATCTCCCCCCCCCCCCCGTTGAGCTCAGCGCTTGGCAGGGGAGGGGAGCGCTTCCCCACACTGCCTCTTTTTCTTGGCCCCGCCGACAAGGGGGGAGGAAGGCCAGACTTGGGGGATGGCTCCCACCCCTCAAGATCCGCCCCCACTGTTCTCTCCCAGCCCTCTTTGCTGGCGGCAATAGCAAATTTACCACGACAAAGGTGGAATGCTGTTGCCACGCAAAGACATGTGCAGGGGCATTTCGCTCCTGCACTAAGACTCCGACCACGCCATTGCCGCGACAGGGTGGCAGGGGGCCCAAAGAGCCACATGCGGCTCCAGAGCCACAGGTTGCCGAGCCCCGCTCTATACCATTGCAGACAAATGGCTATCCAACCTCTTACAAAACCTCCAGTGTTGGAGCACAAATTCTGGAGGCAAGCAGTTCCACTGGTTTATTGTTCTCACTGTCAGGAAATTTCTCCTTAGTTCTAGGTTGGATCTTTTCTTGATAATTTCCATCCATTACTTCTTGCCTTGCCTTCAGGTGCTTTGGAGAATAAGTTGACCCCCCTCCTCTTTGTGACATCCTCTTAGATATTGGAACATTGCTATAAGGTCACCCCAAGTCTTCGTTTTCATTAAATTAGACATATTCAATTCCTGCAACCATTCTTCATATGCTTTAGCTTTCAGTCCCCTAATCATATTTGTTGCTGTTCTCTGCACTCTTTCTAAAGTCTCAGCATCTTATTTTATATTGTGGTGACCAAAACTGGACACTGTATCCTAAATTTCTCTTCAGGAAGCAATAAAAAGCTGCAGTTTCTTCAAAATATACCACAATCAGAATTTTAAATAGGATGATTTATTGAGGGAATCACATTCTAGTTTTAGGAATTTTTATTAGTTATTGAGTCATTCCAAATCCAATACAAAGTGGCAGTTTTCACTGTTTCCATTCTGATCCTAATCTCTAAAGAGATTAGGTACTATTCTTTATCTCTGGCTAAAAATAAGAGATTTATGATCTACCACTAAAGATCTACTACTTGTCAAAATGCTTCCAAACTTCAGTAGATGGCAACATGAGCTGTAAGGTACTGAATTTCTATTACTCTTAACCATAACTTGTATAATATTAACAACGGCACCCAGGTTTCAGATAACTTCAAATAAAGTAGTAAATAAATAAGCAATATATAATATCATGTCAATAGTTAAGATATAATAGTTATTTTAAATTAATAAAAATACAAATTTCATTAGTGTTCTGAACACTTTAGCACAATTTTTATACAATTAACTTATATGTATTCATTTTTGCTTACACCTGAGCCTTTTCTGAAGGAACTTGTGGTTTCTCTTCAATTTTCACCCTCTCCAGTTTTAATTTTTTTCTTGTCTCTGGTATTCCTTTATCTTGCTGTCATTTATGCATTCAAGAAAGTAAAGCAAAAGTTTTGCATTATACAGTTTCTTGTACAGCTGTATTTGATAGTGCATGTGTCAAATGACAATAGAAATATTCCTAATACAGTTGTCAAAATCAGTAGATCTCACTTTTCCCTTGATAATATCCCCAAGGTGGTTATTTAAATTAGATAACAATTAATTCCAATTTTTATTCACAAGTTTTGGAAACGGAAGGGCAGGTCCAAGTTGGCGTAAACCAATTTCACACCTTGTGGACGCCAAGAAAAGACACAGGATAGGATCATGTGAATGAACTTCCACTGGCCACAAAGGCCCACTGAAAGGGCTACTGCCACTTTGATCTAATATTCCAGCTAGCACGATCCAGGAAAAGCCATATAGCTTCAACCCTTAGGAACATCTTATCTCCTGACCATCCACAAGAGCCTGAAGACCTGACTCTTCCTGTTAATTTGTGGCCCCCATGGGGGAATTTCACATCAGTGACTGATCAACTAATAGTAGTTTTCACCCACCCCCATCCCTATATATTCTGTAGTTATAACTTGTATTTTATTGTAATTCTAATGTGATTTTATATGTTTATTCATACACCGTATTTTTCGGAGTATAAGACGCACTGGAGTATAAGACGCACCTACCTTTTTTGGTTAGGAAAAGAAGAAAAAGAAATCTCCCTCTGCCTCTGCACAATTTTGTCTCCTTACAACAAACAGCCTGCTTTACTTTCATTTTAGTTTTCAGCATAGCTTGATTAGCAACAAGGGGAAAAAAATCTGCTCCAGCAATTTACCTCCTTGCAGCAAGCAGCAGAGCCCTGCGCAAAACAGCTGAGAGCAAATCAGCTGAAAGTCTGGAGGCCGATCCAATCAACTTGTGCTAATTAGGTTGTGCTGAAGCTGAAAGGAACTGTTTTTTCTTGCTGTTTGCTTGCAAGGAGGTAACTGCTGCGAGGCAGAGGCCAAAGAGTGGGGGCCAGTGGGCGGGCGGGGCTACATTCGGTGTATAAGACGCACCTAAATTTTCACCCCCTTTTAGGGGAGAAAAAGGTGTGTCTTATACTCCGAAAAAATATGGTATTTATGGTTTCATTTTAAACCACCCAGTCATTTGTGGTGAGTAGTGAGTATGTGGCCAAAATAGGTAGGTAGGTAGGTAGGTAGGTAGGTAGGTAGGTAGGTAGGTAGATAGATAGATAGATAGATAGATAGATAGATAGATAGATCTAGATAGATAGATAGATAGATAGATAGATAGATAGATAGATAGATACCGTATTTTTCGAGTATAAGACGCACCTACTCTTTTTGGTTGTTTTTTTTAAAAAAAGTTTTCTTTTTAATTTTTTAGACAAACACACATACAAACATACAATGTATTTTCTTTGAACAGAGTATTTGGCTGGTTCACGAATTTAAACTATGTTTAGTCATTTTAATTAAATTTACAATTTCTATATTTTTTTTCCATATTTATTCCTCATCTATTTTTTTAAAAAAACCAATATTACCCTTCATTCTCATCTCTAATCTTAATCAAATTCAATTTTTCCCTTCTATTCTATAATATACCCCTTCCCATTGTCATCTATTTTTATATCCATCCTCACATTGGTTAATTATTTAATATTACAATTGTTTAATAGAAATTCAACATTTTTATATAAATCAATTAGTTATAACTATCTTTTTTGTATAGTAACCAATATGAATATGAATATTCCAATTATTTCTATGCAATCCAATTTCTTACAAATCAATTAATTATATTTACCAATAATAATAAACCAAATAATTTTCCCCATATATTCCTCCAAAGCACAACTTAACCATTTCTGCTTTCAACACACTATACAATTAATAGTATCTCAATTATTACAATTCCCTAGTTAAATAGAGCTTTTTTCTTTTGTGTTTTAAAATCTTGAACTCTCCTCTTTTGCCCTAAATTTCCCATTGTTTGCACCTACCTTTTTTGGTGAGGAAAAAGAAATCTCTTTCTGCCTCATTTTGTCACGTTACAACAGAGCCTGCTTTACTTTCAGTTTCGTTTTTTCAGCATAGCTAGGGAAAAAAATCTGCTCCAGCACTCTTTGCAGCTAGCAACAGAGCCCTGCGCAAAACAGCTTAGAGCAAATCAGCTGAGTCGGGAGGCCGATCTAATCAACTTGTGCTAATTAACCTATGCTGAAGCTGAAAGGGGCTGTTTTTTCTTGCTGTTTGCTTGCAAGAAGGTAACTGCTGCGAGGCACAGAACAAGGGGTGGGGGCCAGTGGGTGGGCAGGGCTACATTCGGTGTATAAGACGCACCTAAATTTTCAGCCCCTTTTGGGGGGGTAAAAAAGTGCGTCTTATACTCCGAAAAATACGATAGATAGATAGATAGATAGATAGATAGATAGATAGATAGATAGATAGATAGATAGATGATGGATGGATGATAGACAGACAGACAGACAGACAAATAAACACATAACAAAACACAAAACAAAACACAAGATTTAGGGGTTAGGGGTTTTAGGGGTTGAATCTCTCTTGAAATGTTTGCATTATATCAGAGTTTGCTTATTGGGCAGTGCTGTAATGGAACCCCTTATCAGCTGGTATTTACATTGGAGATATTACTTCTTCTTTCTGTGCTTCTGCACAATCCTTTCAGGGTGTCCTAATACGAAGTCATTCTTTTACTGGACTTCAGTTGTACTCTCTTTTCTTCCTTGTACTCTCAGATGTACCTTAACTTTTAACATTTTCAATCTATTTTCTCTATAGGTAGGATCAATAAATTCTCATTAGCCCTTTTTCTGCACTGGGATAAATTATTTTATAGATTTATTACTTTATATTCTGCCACAATTATTGTCCTATTTGCTCCTCAGTATTAGTCCTCCCATTCTTAAACATTCCAGGAAGAGAATCTAATGTTATAAGTATAATTTTGAATTTCTAATCATGTAACAAGCAAACTAGATTTAACATAAAGAAATATGTTATGATGGCAAATACAAAAACTCCTGTGATTTCCCTTATGAACAGAAACCAAGTTTAACTAAGAAGAGGAGTAATTAAGTTCCCATACAGCTTAGGCTGACCAGAAAGAGATCTGAATATGACACAGAGCCAGTAACTAAGTTCTCAATCTTTAAATCTAGCTTCAGTTGCTCTAAGATGAAAACTAGATCAATGTGAATTCATTATAACAGTAAGGATCAATATCAGTTAGGACAAGCACACAGTTGTCATGAAGGTCAGACATTTCTGATTCATCATCAATCTCATCTCAAGAAACAAATTGATGCTCCCAGCATTAATAGCATGGAAGACTCAATCACAAAGTCAAAAAAGAGCAGAATCCATAAATTGTCCATAAAGCCCAATTTAGTATAGACACTTGCCCAGAGTCCTCTGAGAGCCAATTTGGACAGAGGAATAACCGTCTCTGTTCTTGACCAAATTTTAGAAACACAAACAGAAATCTGCTCATTTCTCCAGAAAAATAATAATAAAGGAATATCATCTTAATACAAACAGATCTTGCATTTGACAATAATATCCTTATTCAACAATATAGTGTTGATAGCCTCAAAAAAAGCTAATAGATTAGAAGAAGGTATCAACACCAAACTGTTTATCTGCCTTAATCAGGTCCATAGTACAATTCTTATTCTAAGCATATTCTCAGAAATAAATCTCTTTTATGTTATATAAAATTTGTTGCTCTTAAATGTATTATAATATCTGAAACTTCAGTTCTATTAATAAAATTGAGTTTAACTCATAAATACCTCTGAAGTTTTCATTTTTTGAAGTTCATCCTCCATTATTTCTTTTTCTTCTGTTAGCTTTCGAAATTCTTGCTGAATTTTCTGTAATTTCTAATATAAAGAAAAGCAAGAAAGGCTAGGTACCTCCTCCAAATATTTGGGACCTCAAAAGAAATCTTGTCCCTCCTTTGGAAAGAATTATTATATAAGAGATTGTTACAAATGTATGTGAAGTACATACATTTGTATGTACTATACATATACTTGTATGTATGTTCTATATAAATATATAAAATGTTATAAAACAGTTTTTGTAAATATAGAGTAAAAATAGTTGCAGATGTGATAAGCTTGATATATGTTAGAAGTAAAGCATGCATTAGAATAAAGACAACATTATGTGAGTGGTTCAACATTGAGCAGGGCAAAATATGTACCGTTTCCCCCAAAATAAGACATCCCCAGATAATAAGCCCAAATGAGCATAGCAATAAGGCCAAGAGCTTATTTCAGGTTCAAAAAAATATAAGACAGGATCTTATTTTCGGGGAAACACAGTATTAGCAATTAGTTATTTGTATACAATCAAACCCTTTTATGTATAAAGGTTGGTACATCCAATGCTTCTTTAGCAATTATATTCTGTTCCCGTGACTTGGTCAATAAGCATAATGGTTGCTAAATGAACATATTTACTAAGGGAGAGATGCTGCAAAGATCACTTATTGCTGCCATCTCATTCAGATAAAATTCTCTCCTAAATATCTTATGCCTGACCTGTTTCCCCCCCCCCCTTGCTTCTTCTTCTTTTTTTCTTTTCTTTTTTTTTGCAGGGAATGATTGCTTCAAAAAGCTATATCTTCCTAAACTGCATTTTCTCCACAGAGCAGCACTTCCCAAAATATGTAACAGTGGTGAAATCCAAAATTTTTTATTACCGGTTCTGTGGGCGTGGCTTGGTGGGTGTTGTATGGCTTGGTGGGTGTGACTTGGTGGGCATGGCAGGGGAAGGATACTGCAAAATCTCCATTCCCACCCCACTCCAGGAGAAGGATATTGCAAAATCTCCATTCCCACCCCACTCTAGGGCCAGCCAGAAGTGGTATTTACCAGTTCTCTGAACTACTCAAAATTTCCGCTACCGGTTTTCCGAACTGCTCAAAATTTTCACTACCAGTTCTCCAGAACTTGTCAGAACCTGCTGGATTTCACCCCAATGTAACTGCAAATTAAGCTCAACTACACCCTTTATTAGTTGATTAGCCAGCTGGCTAGCTGCTCTATTGCAAGAAACTGATCACACCTTAAATCAGTAACAGACTGATGCTTTTGTTGTCAAGCATAAAATTTGCTCATAAATGCATGCATTGATCAGAAAGTGATTTTTTACTACTCTTCATTACTGTTGTATTTGTGAATGGACACTAACTGAAGTAATTCCTAGCCAAACAGTGGCTGTATCACTGAATTTTGTTCAAATTATTAATTTAAGAATTGAAAGGAGGGTAAAAATTATTACTTACACCTTCTAGCACATCCTGTTCATTTACAACTCTGAAAAATATAAATATTTTATTGATTTTTTTTCTTTTTAAGCTTTCAGTAATTTCTAGATAAATTGAATATTTAGAGAATTTATACTCTACTTTTCTGTTAGCACCATGTTCTAATTATCTAAAATAAGATGGAGAGTACAAATTAATATTAATTAAAATCAAAATTAAAAGTAGCCATTTAGAGAACTAATAGCTAAATGCTTAGAAAAAATGTACTGTTTTTATCATCTTCCTAAATGTTGGGAAAGTGGGAATCAAATGAACCTCCTTTGGAAGCACATTTCATAGTCTGGGAATGTGGAAACCAAATGGGAGAAGGCCATCTTCCAATGTCCCATACTATCAATGTGGGCATCCTCAGATCTCAGAGGAACAACTCATCAGAATTATTAGACATAGAGGGAGAGTTGTCCTGCAGACAATCAGAATCAAAGGTATTAAAAGCTTCAGTGTCAACACCAACATCTTAGACTGTAGGCAGCAGACAACTGGTAACCCAGCAGATCTTTTAGTATAGTTATAATATAAACCCTGTGTTGTATAGCAATCAGCAGCCTGGTTCTTGAATTTTTTTACCCATTGAAATTTATGGACACATTTCAAACCTAGATCTATTTCATGTGAATTAAAAAATAGACAAACTACGATCAAAATATGATTGTGACTAAGCAGTCACAAAGTTCAGTAAAAATTGAAATATAAACTTAAAAACAGACAAAAACCAATACCTAAATTTCAGAGAACTCAAGGAAAGGTTGTAATCATCTTTATATCTTTCATCTGGACAGTGGCAGCTAGGAGTTAAAAAGTATGTGTCAGGGTCATGGATTTTTTCAGCTTGTGAATCCCAATCTGTGGACAGGTATGTGGAGAGAGAAGGGCTGCCACTTGTTTGCTGGCCCTTGTTTTTATGACTATTTAAATTGTTAGAGTGTACACCTTGACTGAAGTCATTTGCCTCAATAAATTAATGAACAAGCCAGGGGTGGGTTCTATATCCTTTACTATCAGTTCACAACGGGAGCATAGACACACACTTCTGCACATGCGCAGAAGCTTCTGTGCATGCGCAGATCACCCATGATGACATCGTGGTTTATGCAGAAATATTTAAAATTCAAAAAAGTTCACAAACTTTTAAGCACCACTGTAATCACATACCAATTCCTTTCTGATGAATAACAGCCCAATAAAACCTGTCCATATAGTCTTCTCCACCTCTGTCTCATCAGCTCTAAAAAGAATTCTGTATATGATCAAAGTTTTCATTTATTTCAGATAATTTTGAGTTAGGATTTGAAGAAATCCTTTGAAATCTAAAACACTTTGAAGAACTGCCTGAAATAAAGTGGTATTTTCTGAAGCAATTAAAATATAATAGTGCTCTTCAAGGAATATAATGTCTTGATATTTTCCTCTGAGATTCCAGGAAAGAGCTATAACAAAGTACAATTTTTTTATTAGCAGGTCTATCTAATGTTTCTATGATTTAAAATAAATCACAAAGCTTTAGTGAGAGACACTGAGATTTGGCCAGGGGAGTTTGTGTAAATTGAGCAGAAAGCAAAGATATTGCTTATATAGTCAATATAACATATATTTTATAATTATAAATATTATATGTGTGTGTGTATATTTTATATATAAAATATATAATATTCAGGCAGACAGACAGATATAATTATTCACTGTAATATATCCTTACTTCTGCACATTACTTTGTGAAATTTTGCAAGTTTCTTTTCTAGGAACCTCTTAATTATTTGTGCCATGTCATATAAACTACCCCAAAATACACAGGATAAAATGAAACTTTCCCTTCCCCATCTGCATCATTATGTTGGATTTACCTGTGTAACTTGTTTGTTTGTCTTTCAAATACTTTCATTATTTCTATCATGCGATTGTTCATCATCTCAATTGTTTCTGAACAATTATAAAAATAGTTATTAGGTTGATATCTAACATTTTAATCTAGAAATAGAAATATTAACAATTGCACAAGATTGGGCAAAAATGTCACTGCTACTACTATCACCCTAATTATTACTACTGCCATTATAACTATGACATTATTACTATTGCCAAATTACATAACACAAGCTAGAGCTAATCCAGTGCCAAGTAAATTAAGAAAGGGTCACAACTATCACAGTTAGTCAATTAGGACCAAAATTTCAATTGCTAAGCATTTAGTCATAAAACAGAATGTCATGTGACAATATCACTTAGCAATGGCAATCATAAGCAAGTATAATAGGATTTAAATATGTGCTTCTTTACAACTTCCTGACAACTTCCAATGATCAGTGGGGAAGTCAGCAAGAAGCTGCAAGTCACAGGCAGCTCTCAAGGAAAGTAGGCAGATAAGTGGCTGTTGCCAGATGGGAGAGGGAGAAAGGAATTGAGAGAGTGGCTGTGGAGCCATGTTCCAAGCCTAAGGTTTGAGAAGGCTGTGATATGAAGGGGAAGGATGTGCAGATGGCTGGAAAGGGTGTACAAAGCCCGGGGAAGGTTTGCAAGAAATGGGTATGGCCAGCAAACCACAGCATGAGTATAGAGGGACTGAGAAGGATTATGCAGCTGGCAGAGACTTACCCAAAAAGGGATCTTTCCTGCCAGCTTCCCCATTGACTCTGCTTGTGGGAATCCAGCAAGGAAAGTCACAAATCATGATCAGGACATTGCAACCATTGTAAGCATGGGCCTGTTGCAAAGAGTCCAGATCACAATCACAAGATTATGGGAGTACTGAGATGATCAGAACTTCAAGGACCAGTTCTAATGATCCTTTGTTCACCATCATGATAGCTTCAAAAGTTTGCTGAATGAGTAGTGAATAACTGAGGGCAACCTGTAATTAAAATGTGTATCTCATATTTAAAAAATTCTATTTTCCACAGTGAAGTATTTATTAACAGATTATTTATAGGATCTCCCTTATCATCACCACATGCATCCACATGCACTTCATAAATGTGTACCACACAGCTTATTAAGTGCATAAGAAATAACCAAACTCCAGCTCTTTTCCAATAACCAGACTCCAGCTTTTTGTTATCTACCTACTTCTGTTAAATCATTTCAGGTTTCTGGCTGACATGGCAGCATAGGAAGAGGAAGCAGCAGCAGCAGCTAGAAAAAACATAATACTCTCTTCTTGCTTGAGGGAGAATAGCCTACTGATTTGGCAATAGAGCAACTAATAGTTTTACCTTAGTCTAGCCCTGACTGAAATGAAAAATCAAACGAAATTGAAGTTTTCACTACTTTAAAAGCTTTTTCACCTAGTACCTAAATATTTATAATATGAATTTTGAGAATTTGAATTAAATATTTACTACCTTAAGATCAAAAACTGAAATTTTGTATCATATGGGTTTATATTCCATTCAGCATAAAACCTAGTCTCAGTGTTGAAGATTCTACAGGCAATACTACATTCTGCATTTCTCACGACAATTTGCAGTTCTTAAATGGAAAGTAAAGAAAAATAATGATTTTTCTAACTCCATAGATAGTTCAGTAAGCCCTGCCATTAAACAAAAAGGGATCAAATCTTATCTTCTCTTTCCAACATGGATAAAGGCATAAAAAAGCTTTATGAGCTGGATGCTGTTAATCAATTACTGGTAACTGTCACAGGATCACATCAATTCTAATAATAGTTTCCAACATCTTTTTTGAAGAAATTAATATTCTTCTACAAAAAGGATCTCTTATCTACCATAGTAGGTTGATTGGTCAAAGCATAAAAATTCAAAATCTCTTAAAGTTGTAGTAAAATTGTAATAATATTGACTACCAGATACTAAACATTTCTAGACTGAATGTTCCAGGAAGGATTTTATTTTTTAATAATGATTATCTTTTTAAATAAATTGACTGTATTACTAAGGAATATTCTGCTATTTTACATAAAAATATTCAACATCTTTTTTTTTACTTTTGTTATATCTGAAAATTTTAAATCCCTTTTTTAAAAATTTATTTATTTATTTATTGTTTCAATTTATATGCCGCCCTTCTCCGGAGACTCAGGGCGGCTTATAATGCGTTAAGCAATAGCCTTCATACGTTTGTATATACCTGCTTAGTAGGGCTTTCGGCCCCACCAAGCGGTGTTTTTTTTATACAAAGTCAGCTTATTGCCTCCACGATCCGGGTCCTCATTTTACCTACTTCGAAAGGATGGAAGGCTGAGTCAACCTTGAGCCTGGTGAGATTTGAACTTGCAGTAATTGCAGGCAGCTGGTGCTACTTAACAGCACTTTAGTCTGCTGCGCCACCAAGGCTCTTTTACTTTGGAATGAACTTAATCTAACTAAAATGAATTATATAGATATGAAAAATATGTTAGTGGGATTGCAGAAGAAAAGCAGGTATATTACTGAGTGCTCTCTTCCAATGTGAATGATTTTTTCTTTTTCAGATGGTGTACATTTTATAAGTAGACCAACTGTTACCTGGTAATACAAATTTTATTTCTTATGTCCTTACTTTTTTGACCTGGTATCCACATAGGATGAAGATGCCAATCACAGATGTTGGTAAAATGTCAAGAAATCTGTTGTTTAGACAACAGTCACTAAACCTTGAAGGTTAACACTGTTCAAGAGATACCAATCTGAAAGTTATATCAATATAAATCTGAAAAATATTTGTAGCTCCCTCTGGTGATAATAAGGACTCCCAGCTACCAAAGATATATGAAATGTTCTCCTGTGTATATACTATTCTATTGAAAGTTGCCATATCTTGTTTTATTGCTTTGTCTAGAAGATCTGTCTAAATCATGCTTTGGAGTTAAAGATACTTTTTTTTCCTATGCTTGGTTTAATATGCCATTTCAGCTTTTACATCATTTATTTTTATTGTTTCTGAATCAACAATTTTCTATCCATATTTTAATGTGGCAAAACATGTTTCAAACTTTAATTTGATAAATACAATGACTTTTTAAATTCTTTCCAAGAATATTTTTTCACATGAAAGTTCTTCTCAATAATTTGTAATATTTTCAAATATTTTGATTTTTAGTTAGATTACTAAATAGAATAAAGGCATCATAATCTATGAAGTCATCCCATTAACCATATTAATTACCACAAAAATTGTTCAACGTTGGGGGACTTCTGGTTGGCGCCGCGGGAATACAGATGGGGAATTAGCGGGCTCTTCGGAACCCCGCAAAAACCCCGTCTGCCAAGCCCCCGCCGGTAGGTCTTTGAACCTATCCTGTCCTGTAGGGACAGGGGGATAGAGAGGGACCTGTTGGACGGCCAAGAGGAATGGGCAGGTTCCTCGGGGCCAGAGGCTTGCCGTCTGCGCCGGCAGCGGTGGAACGGCAGCCATGGCGGCTGCCCTGAGACCGCAGCAACCGGGATACAAGAATGTGCAGGAGGAGAAGAGGAGAAGCGGAGAGCGGAGCCAGGAGTTTGCATGCCGGGTGAGTGGACATCAACCAAGACAGGAACTGCCCACAAACGCTGGATTACAATTAGTCTGCCCCAGCCTTAACAGCAGCTGAGAACTATTGGGGCACAAAGACAAAAGACCTGTTGGTGGATAACATAAATTACAGACTTTTTGGAAATGTTTGACTACAGATCTGGATATATATTTTTTTTTACTTTTTGGTGGATAAATGAGATTGGACTATGTTTCAGAGAGAGGAAGAAGAAGAGGAAATAATTATGCCTTCAAAAGCAAAGGAAAAAGACAAACGGAGACGGATAAAATGGTTGCCAGCTGAAAAGTGAAAGTCCAGACTGCTTGTTACTTGAAAAGAGAAACTTTGTTGTTTGTTATTTAAACTTGACTATTTTGAGGAAAAGACTTAGAGAACTTGACTTAGGATACATAATCTGTTCACTGGAGGATTTATTGAAGATTAGAAAGAAGAAATTAAATGGAACAATGAAAACTGAACTAATAAACGTGGCAACAAAAGAAGTGTGTGGCAATAAAAGAAGGACATGATGATACCATATATGGAATAGCTTCAGAATTAACTTTGTAGAACTCATAACTTTGATGACATTGAAATGGAAAAGATACATATTTGGACAGACTGGAGAAAAGAATAATGGAATATGTAACAAGACAACAAAATATTATATTTTGATTTAAATGACTGTAACGGTTTCTGGGTGGTTGAATAATGCTAGGAGATACTTTTTTTTTTCTTTTTCTTCTCTATGCTCTCTCTCTTTCTTTTAGTATCTTTCTCTTTGTTTCTTTTCCCCTATTTTCTTTTTTAATCCATTTGACTTCTTTTGTTATATTTCTATTCTCTTCCTTTTTTTTTTCTTTTTTAGTTTTGCCTTATTTTTATGTATTTCTTTTATTGTAATTATTATTATTGCTATTACTCTCTCCTTTTTTTCTATTATTATTCACATATAAATATATAAACAATTTGATTAAGAAATAAGAACATAAATGATTGAAGAAAATCATGATTTTTGGATGTTCTAATGCCTTTTTTAAACTTTGAATTTTTAACTAGCACTACCTACAGATTTAATAATCTGGAAGAAAATGTTTACCTTTAAAGCATTGGATGTTAAAAAGAATTATTTATAGAATTAAGAACTATAAAAAATGGATTTTGAAGTGTTTCAAAATGTTTCCTATTGAAAATAAGAAATAAGTATGGAAGGGGAGAAAATTTAAGAGAGAATAGGAGATAAGATATTTATTGAAATATACTTTTATCTTAAATTGGTAAGAGATATGGAGAATAGATTGGAAAACAATATTGGTAACATATTCCGAAGTAATTTGGAGCTAAACAACCGAATAAGAGATAAATGTTATGAATTAGTTAAATGAATTTAGGAGTGGAGGAAAGCATGATTCTGGAGATCAGTGAAAGCAAAGCTGTGATCCAGTTTTACAAATAAGGTAGGAGTGGAGGAAAG